ATAGCAGAATCCTGTTAGACAAAGAGTTGTCCACGAACCTCCGCAAGTATTTTGGGACTCTCTTCTTCTTCAGAGCTTCCATTATTCTGGACCAACTGGCACTGTTAAAGGCATTCTTCACGTCTAGCGTCACAATGGCGCTGGCTCCAACTATTCTTCTCCTCCCTCCCACTTTGGGCACCACAATATCTAACACGTGCGTGACTGCATCAGAGGTTGATCTTCTTTTCCGGAAGCCATATTGACGATCTGACAGGTCCTCCACCTCCTCGTAGTGCTCTTGTAATCTGTGGAGAATCAGACGTTCCAACAGTTTACCTGTCGTATCTCACATACAGATCGGCCTGTAAGATAATAGATTCTCCAGATAACCGGTCGCTTTTTTCGGCAGCACCAATTTCTGCCTCTTCCAGATGGTCGGAAATACTCCAGAGTCCAAGCAGCTGTTAAAGGCGTCAAGCAGCACCACTGGATACTCGTGAGCCACTACCTTGAGGACCTCAGTTTGAGGCTCCCTCGGGTCCGGGCGCCTCGTTTGTTGGTAATCTTGTAGCAGCCATCTTTAGGTTCTCTTGTGTCCACCTAGGTGGATTCTCTTCGACTGTACTGGCTCTCGTTTGTCTCCGAGGGCGCCAAGAAAACAGCGTCTTAACTATATTCCGCTTTCGATTCGGGTTTAACAGGCCTGGGATTGCTCTTGACCCTCCTACCTTCTTCATAACTAACTGATAGGAAAGCCCCGAAGGATCTGGCTTCGGACCGCTGGCTGATCACCGCAATATCTATCTTAAGGTCCTGCACTGACTTGCGCAGCAGGTCCTGAGCCACCCTGCCTCTCCCCAAATTTATTTGCAGAATTCTAAGAGCGCCTTCGGTTGAATGCTTTATCTCCCGGCGTCAACACATTGTCTACTTCCAACAAGGTGCTTTCAGCTCGTCTCGTCCACCCCTGCTTCTTTACAAATTATACAGCACGGAGGTTTTTTGCATTCTCTGAATTTGTGCCCCACCTCTCTACACTTTCGACAGCTGGCCGTCCTATCTTGACCTTGACACATCGTCGCCAGCATCTACAGCATCTAGCTACCGCATCCGTTATTCTCATTCTACAGTACACCCATCCGATCTTAAGTTTCCCCGCAGCCAGCAGCCAGCAGCTTGTGACCTTTTGATGCTGATGCGCAAAGTAGCGCTGACTGGGTCCAATATAGCTACCTCTAAGATTTAGCACTTTGACTGTAGCTCCCTCTCCTACTACTGCTCTGGCCGTTTGCAACACCTCCTCCTCCACTGTGACCTCTTCTATGTCGCGGACCTCCAACAGAACTGTCTTTGCTAGCTCCGTGACTGTCACTTCCTCGTCCAGGGTATCTTCTACTGCCTGTCCTTATTCAGCTGCCGTGCCTTTGCCCCTCTTAAGCTCTACTAAAAGCTCTCCTCGCACTAAGCCCCCCCCCTCCCGATCTCTAAGCAATAGGCCTCCGAGTCAATTTTACTTTTAGCCCTTGAAAGGACTTCAGCATACTCCATGGCTCCGTCTCGTGGCCTAATGATAGTAGCCTCTGGCTTTGGTGCCATCTGTCTTCGTTATTTTATTGAAGATTTGTTGGGCAACTTATCCCCTGCTTTCGTTGTCGCATCTGCTCTCGTTACCGTAGCTTCAGGATCAAACACCTACTCTCTTTTTCGTCCTGCTGCAACCCTCCATTTTGTATCAGCACTCGCCTGACTGCTAACGGTCTGCCTTTCTTGCGCTCTTTCGAGCTCCCTCCTCTTGAGGCAGACGTGGTTAGGCTCCTTAGCCCTCTTTAGACGACGCTGATGCTCCTCTTTTCAGCCGTTTCTCCTTTCTCCAACTTCTCCTTCAAGTTTGTACTCCTGTCTCGTTCCTGTCGTTTCTTGGCTCCGTCTGCGTCGTTTGACTGTGTTGTTCCCTTCCCCAAGCTCTTAATCCATCTCTTGCATTTCCGAGGGCCATCCTTCAGCTTATCATCTGCCTAAAAAAGGCTCTGCCCTCACGGAGCGCCTCTTCCATCTCTTAAAAGACTCCAGGAGTCTTCTTACAGGTTTTGTCATGAATACAATTTTGTTTTTTAGGCCAGCCAGTGCCTTCTCTCCATCGTGAGGGGTTGGATTGGAACCCTTCTTTGTCTGTCCCCTCTCTTGAGACCAGTCCGGCTTAGAAGGCCCTTCTGGTAGCTACGCTAACACTGACATAGCTCTCAAAATCATTGGGATACACAAGCTTTGCCACTACGTCAAGGTTATAGACTCCATAGGCAGAGTACTAGTATAGACTAGGCCTAATTATTGTGCAGCTTCGAAATTTCCAATATTTGTTTTTTCATTACTTTATATGTCGATTATGGTTTGAAAAAATATTTAAATTTATAATAAATTATAAAAATGAAATTCAAACCACCATTTGAGTAATAAATTAAAAATCATTGTTGACAAATACTCCTGAATAGCGATTTTTTCATTATTATCGGCACGTCTACAATTGTCGTCGGTAGTATAGAACCCGCTGGTCTGAACTTTTACCATTCTATCATCATTCTTATATTTCATGTGTAAAATTAAGTTACGGGGAAATTTATGTTTTTTGCTAAATGTTCGAAGATCTACAATTTGTTTACGACTTGGGCACTAGAAATTTTTGTCCAGTGTTTTTAAATAAATAACTCTTATACTATTACATATTCTTGTGGTCTCTCGTGCTTGTTGTGACTTTTTTTCTTCAGCACGATTTATAGCTTTAACCATTTTGCGATGACTATCTGAAACCTCCATTATTATAAACATTCCTTCCACTCTGATTATTTTTACACCTTCAAAAAAATTTAATGTTTTACTGAATTTAAGATTTACAGTTTTGAATATATTGTTACAATTTATTTTTATCAGAAATAAAATCTTGTATACAGTACTTCACTAAGAGTGGAAGATTAACTATCTCTATTCTGTTAATCCTAAAATTGAAAAACCTTCTTTTAGCCTCAGGAGACTCCTTTCAGTCTTCCATATCTCTATGATATTAACTGCATTCTGTCCTTCGTCTTGACTTGTTTAGGTACCTAGGTATTTCCTTGAATGCGAAATTGATTCGGCTTCCCTCACGAGACCTACAAACTTAAAACTAATTTCTTCGCCAAAATACTCGAAAATGCACCTTTCACACTTCCAAAATATGAAGCAATAGGTTACAAATAGGTAGAGCAAAACAAATGGGTTATTATTAGCTTTAAAATTTGATAAAGTGTTATTAATAATCGACATTGGGACATTATTCAAAAAAAAATGTCACAAGACATTTGTATGTACCAGCTGATTTCTGCGACTTCGTCCACGTAATGTGTATTGTTACATTTCATAGTAAGAGATCGATAAAAAAATGTAAAATTGTAATTTTGTAGCTTGAATAGTCGAATTTCAAATATGTATCGCTTCGGAATATGATTAAAAAGAAACTAATAAATTTGTAGGAATTAGTAATACACGAAAGAAAAATCACACTTTATCGCCAGCTTCAATTCTTGCTCGTTTACAACGATTTAATTGTGATAGAAAAAATTCCTTCTCATTTAAGTAACATAATCAATACCTTCAAAATTAATACTTGAATAGACTTAAATACCTTGCATAAATCTCTTTTTCAATAGCTGACAATAAATTCAGTGTTCAGAAAAAAAAAAAAAACGTAATTGCATGTTCATGATCCATATTTGGTAGTCCGTTTCCGAAAGAAAATATAAGCTCTTATCAGTGGAAATCCAATACATTGCATTAGTTCCGTTTTCAATTGTTAATAACAAACTTAATTATCATAAACAAAGAAAGTTTGTTTTTATTGATATTCCACGCGAAGGAAAGAATTTTTCGTTAGAAGAATTTGAATGTATTGCAAAGTTCCTTTTACCAAATTTCTCCCTTTTAACTCTTGTTCACCTCGCTCGATCACACTTAACGTAACGCTCTCGTTATACATTCAGCAGTTTACTACCCAAGTCAAACATGCGAAAAAAAGTTCTACTTCAAAATCCTATATTATTGTAATGCCATGTGGTTAAATAAGTTTCTAAAAGTGCGTTTCCCTGATTTCATTCGATTTAATATTAAAGGTAATCATAATTAACAGCCGAGCTTCTCTTTTTATGCTTGTTCTCTGTCAAATTTCGCATGCCGAGGAATATTTCAGTGGAGTTTGACCGAGGTCGTAAAATTGGTATCACAAATCTAACTTGGCTGAACTATCCTCTCAAACACTAACGCAAGACGCGTTACAACGACTTCCGATAAAGGGTAAAGCTTGTAATATAGAAGGCAAATATCAAGACCTGTATCTGGGGCTGCAGAGTAGAAGACCGATGTGTAGGACCAGGTGGATTCAGTCCATTGAGGTTGGACTCGTAGTGGTTTGTTCGGGCTTTCAGCATGATGTTGTATCCTAGTTCCTTTTTCAAAACGTGAAAGTGTTATGTCCCAAGTAACGCCGTCGAAAATAGTAGCATTATTATATTCTCAGAGTTATGCCTTATAAAACGTGGAATAGCGTCTCCTCTACATCACCGTAGCAAACTCAACATCTTGTGTCTTCAAGTTGCTCTTGCATAACATCGCTCCGATATTTTTGAAAACCAAATAATACCTATTTTAAATATTTATCATTTATAGAATAAATGAGTCTAAAGGAAATTGATAAAAACGGGTCGGAATACTCATCATAATAGTTACATAAATGTAATAAAACGCAAAAATTTGTGTTTTTTTTAACCCCGTTGATTCGAATCAATAGAACATTTTTTTACAATCGATAAGAAAGAAATGCTTTTTACACTACTCATCTGTTTAATATAGATTAAATCCATAAAGTAGAGTATGAAAGTGGGATTTGAAATCATAAATTTAAGTCAGTTCACGACTTAAAAACGTATGGAATTCATATGTTGTCTGTTGCAAATTTTGTTGTGATTTTAGCATCCATATCGTTTCCATTACAGCATACTTGGAATGTACCTCTTCGGGGGTAAGTTTTGTGTGTGGGAGGATCGTAGGCGGCCTTGTACGTGTGAAGAAATTGTGACCCGTCATCCAATGTGTCTGTGTGATCGTAAGCACTTCAATGATATCGTCTGGGCACTGGTCACAGTCTTTCAGGTATAGATTTCACAATTATATTGTATTGAACTAGAAAAAAATAACAAAGCTCATATATTCATATGTACCGGCAAAAACAAAAACCACATATAAAAATGTCCGCTGCTTCCAGATACTCACCCAAGAAGATTGGAATGTTGTTCTCTTCAATGGAATGCAAAAAACATCACACTGGGCAGCATTATATTTTGTTGCATTGATGACATTTGGCAATTATGTACTATTCAATCTCCTTGTTGCAATTCTTGTTGAAGGATTTTCTTCTGAGGTATTAATTTGTTATATGGAATTATATCTTGCTCTAACATTATAACGTCTTTTAGCGGGATGAAAGAAAAGAACGTGAACAGCGAGGTGCAACAACATATGCTCTACAAGAGGCAAATCGGAACGACAATATAGACCACTCAGAATCATCGGGTTATCAATCACCTTTTTCATCGGGCAATGACGAAAATTATCTTCAAGTAATATTACTTTAATGTGTACTAATTTACGAGTTATTTGAAAATTTTTGGCACTTTTTTAGGACTGGAAGAAATATTGGGAAGCAATCGATAACATTGGCAAATACAATGAACGTAATTTATTAGCAAATAATTACGTAACAAAAAAAAAAGTGCCTCCTACACCTCTTATAGTTGAAACTGCAGCAACGCCGCGTGGATCATCGAATACTACCTGCGTTACGAGCACACAAGATCTTTATACCGATGATCATCGAATAAACTTTTCAGACAAAATGACTGACCAACTGGTAGTATGTAGTTTCATTAATTCACTTAAAGTTGGAGATTTGCGTATAACTATTCGTTGAATTTACAGAACCGAAATTGTATTCTTCACGATTTTCAAAATTTTATGACATTAAGTAACGAGAATCAGCGTAGACATCTACAAAAGAGCCAGCCTAGCTCAGCGGTGAGTAATTCAAATCGAAATTATACTGCAAATTATACAATATTTGATACAAAGATAAAAAATACTTGTGAACAATTGGAAGAGGTAAATAATAAATATGTATTGCAGCAAACATCGAAAAACGAAAAATTTTATTTTGATACAAATAGATCTCACAATATTTTCAGTGATCGTCGTCAAGTTCTATTCGAGAATATGAATGATCTTAAGTCATTTCCAAACAGTGAACTTACAAGTAATCCAAATATGAAATCAAATTACTATCCCATGAATATTTTCAACTATGATAGTGGCAACATTTTTAACGATCAAGAATTTTTATCTAAAGAGAAAAAACCTACATTGAATCAGGTAAAGTCAAAAAACATTCTCATCAACATGGATCAAAAATGATAATTTCTATTCCAGATGACGAAAATATACAATAATTCAGCAGCGAACAATTCTGTACGTAATGAGAATATGATAATCGAAGCACAAAATATTACCCAAAAAGATAATCTTCGTGCGGAATTCGATCAAGTACATCTAAATGATGTGTCACATGATTCAAATAACATGTTTCAATTAAATAACTGGAACAAAAAAAAAGATCGCTGGTTTTGGTCAGCTTCACTTAGAAATTTTGCAAAATCATATCCAACGTACATCGATGATATAAACGTTTTACAGAAGCAAGGATCAAAAAAACCGATTTTTTTTTCATGGTTCTACCGATTACTCTATCAACGCAGAGAATATTCTTTATATGTATTTTCACCGAATAATATTTTGCGGCTATTTTGTTCGTGGTTAGTTCATCGAACTTGGTTTGATAATGTTATATTGGCTTTTATTGGTTTGAATTGTATCACATTAGCTATGGAACGGCCTACAATAGCATCAGAAAGCTACGAGAGATTTATTCTTACTATAGCGAACTATATTTTCACAATTGTCTTTACATCAGAAATGATTGTTAAGGTAAGTAAATCCCTTATTTATAGAAAGATGAACCTAGATGATATTATGTAAGAAATCATGGTTTTTTTTTTACTTCAATCTAACAATCACAAGTTATTCATAAAAGACTATGCAAGGAGAAAAATTATTATATATAGAAATAACAATTTCCGTACAATATTTACAGTTATATGTTGATGATCAGAGTTGAATAATATATCAATGACGAGTCGACTACCGATCAATACGAAATTGATGAAGAGCAATTCGTTGTTCCTTTGTTGCTTGTCCTACTTTTATAATTCGTATACTGCATCTGAAATACCAGCGTCGCATGACTTGAATCTGGGTTTATCGAATGTATTACGAAAAATGTATACGAGTACACATATAACAGTTGTAATTGATCTATATTTACAATACTCAGAAAACGAAATTCAATTTTTAAAAAATCTATAGCTTATTTCTGAAAAAGACTAATTGCAATCAATATTAAAATATTATTTAATTTTTTACATAAACAGATCATGAAAATAATGCGTATGAGTATCACTAATGTTTGGTTAGGTACACTGGTAGCCCGAATGCACGTGCCTTTTGATAGCACACAATATGAGTTTTTCACTGTCGGAGTGTTCGAAGGCACTTGAGGTGTCTGTGTTGAGTGTGTAAGAGGTTGTAAAGCTCTCACAATGCAAACTATGACAATGAAGATCAAAGAGAAGTATAAATAATAATTAAATTCCACTCAGACTATGTCCATCAACCTGACCTCAATACCTGATGCACGCGTTCTTTACGATCAACAGGCGCGAATTACTGACTTTTCCGAAAATTAACATTCCATCTACTATCAACACCAGAGTTAGTGAACAATTTTGAGTGTCATCTTTTTCCCCGCGTCCGGAAAAGTTGTCATCTTAAGTGACTGTAGTTGTGATCATTGAAAGAGGGACTAGCTTTGCTATTAGGCGTGTAAGTGTGATGGTTGCAGTTTTGATTTTTTGCAATTCTTGCTAGTCCATCTGGCACAAGATGTAATTGGATCTCACAAACAAGTGGCCTTTCAATGGTGGAAACCTCTCGTTAGAGAGAAGGACGAGTTTACTCATCCGAATGTCAACCTGTTCATGATACTATTTTGTGATTGTCTGGATTTTCTGTAGATAAGATCTTGATTATCTTGCTCAAAAGTGTTGAGTTCGTTATTAAATTAACTGCCATCAATTTAACCTTGGTTTGTGTGGATCTGTGAGTGTATGTTCTGATAGAGAGGTCGAGAGCGCTTCAATCAAGAAGTGTTCGGTAGTGACAGCTTCAAGATCATCAAGAGCCTTTGATTGTTCTATTCAACAATCGTTCAATCTGCTATTATAGAGACTTCAAAACAGTATTTTTTTGTGAAATAACTGTTAATTTTCCACTGAATGAATTGTCTGGAATTATTAATGAGTTGTCTGAAACAGAGTCACAAAAGGCATGATAATTTTTGTTCAAGCTTGTTCGTGAGACTTCACCTAAGACGACTGAACAGTATTGTTGCTAAAAAGCGTGAGTTTACTGCACAAATCTGCGATTTCGCTGCGAGAAAAATTATAGAGTGGACCGCGTGCTTGTTAACGTCACTAGGGCCGTAGAGTTGCCTGCTGGGCCATGAGGAAATACTTCTCGACAATTGGTCCAGTGAGTAGACTGAAGCAATGGCGGAAAAGTCCGGCATTAGACAAATTCGAATATTGTATGACTAACTGACGTGGGGCCCTTCAAGTCCGAACAATTGTTATTTTGATTATATTATAATGATAATATTTATAATATTGTTATTCATTTGTTTTATTAAAATTACTAGCGAAGCACTTCGGCCTCGCCCGGAATCACTAAAACCGGAATCACCGTTTTAAAATAAAATATAAAACTGCTACTTAATTTGTCAACAAACGTTATTTATCATATCAATGATATTTATATTTAATATTCAAAATACAATTGTTAGAACAAAATTATTATATTTTTGTTATATGTTAAAATTGAATTTTTTTCTATTTATTTCCTTGAAATTTATGAAATTTAGAGAATTTCATTATCAATGAATGTTTTTTTAAGTTAGTTAATCAATTTCTCCATTAAACTTTTTTATTTAATTCGTAATATATAATTTAATTTGTTTTTATTATATTTTGTATACAATTAAGGGTATCCATCAATACAATTTTTTACCTTTTTTTATTATGTGATTTTATTTTTTACTTTTTTTTCTAATTCCGTTTTAAAAATTTTTTTTCATTGGAATTTTCCATATTTTCTGATTCTTTGAATTTATTGTTTTTATTCTTTGTGTTTACTGTTTTTGGTTTTTCTGAAATTCTAAATTCTTCTAAATTTGGTTAATTACTCTCATTACATTTTACTAATTATAAGTACGATTTTTATGATAGAAATTGTTCTTGTAAATTTATTGACAATTCCTTTTCTTTAAACCCAAAAAATACTTCTTCGCTAGTGATTATCGTTTGCTCCCTTCTTCAATAATGTTCTCCTCGAAAATGTATAACATAACTCTTAAAAAATCATTAAATTTAATTTTTAAAATTCAATCTTTATAATTGTTATGGATTAATGATTTTTATCTTTAATAATCCTTATCTTTGATTTGTTGTTATATCGTTTTTCCTATGCTGATCTGAAGTTTATCGATTTGAATTTTTTATTTTCTTTTTCTAATCGCAACAGCTTGTCTTCTTTTATTTCGAGATTAACTTTGTGTATAAATCTTATGCATAATTGCCGAATGTTTTTTTTTCTTTATGTACAAAATTTATTTCTCTTTCAAAATTCATTGGTTCGAAAATCAATGAAATCTTATTGTTTGAATTTTTTTTCTTTCAAAATATGTATACGTCTGTATGTATTTATGTGTATAGTTCACAACTAAGTATAACTTTTATTAAAAATTGTGTTCATCGATCACTTAATCCGTGTATTACATGGATTTGGATGCTTTAAAAAAAATCATATGATCAATGATGAAATATGACTCGTAAAAATTAGTAATTGCTTATAACAATACAAATTTGTTATAAACAATTAAAAATTATATTTATTGAATAAGTAATGTGTATATCACATGTATTCGGATGTTTTCAACAAACATTGATTATAACTATTTAAATTTGTTATAAACAATTACTAATAGGAAGTTCGTCGTGTTAGCCCAGACAAATTGCGCTCAGACCTATTTTTTTTTTAATAATGGAAAAAGGTGTCTTGAAATGTCCCGCCTTCCCCTGCTCTAAGGCACGGGGCCATTGTCTAGGGTCTGTTTGCACAGGAAAGGCGGTCGTCTTATGTCTTAGGCCTGCAGATCTCTCGGTTCCCAAGTTGCCTTGGTTCCCTTCTGAGCACTGGAATCGTCTCTGTCGATTACCATATAGTCGTACGAAAGAATATTATCCCCCGGTTTCCTCAGCCTTAGGTAAGCGAGATCTATAGGCCTGGTGTTAACCTAAGGAGGTCGTCCCAGTTCGAGAAGAAATCGTCCTACTTGCGGAGATTCTGCCGGTTACCTTAAGGATCCTGGTTTTCTCAGCATCAGCTTAAGATAACGAAAGAGAGTGTGCGACGGATTTTGGAGTCCACCTGTGCAGAGTCTCTTGCACGGTAAGGCTGTATTACAATGGAGTGTCGTCTGGTTTCCCAAGGGCATCGTAGCGGCAATAGCACTTTTTGTACTATTCAGTTATGAGCACCATAGCTTACGCCTTTGACTGACCTCTGAAAGGCCTCCCGCTCATCATGGTCAGAGGAAAGACTATATTATGAATGGACCTTGTCTTGGCCGGGAATCGAGCCCGCTACCCATAGTGCGCCAGGCTGGTACGTTACCACCTAGGCCACGATGTCGGTAATTTCAAACAATAATACTTGAGTAAAGTCAAAAATTCTTCATCATTTATGTAATAAGCCTGGTCGTACAAAGAAAAATTGTCGAGAAAAAAATAATAATTTAGAGGAAAATTATCAGCTTTGTGGTAAAACTGGACGTACTGCTAAAAATTTTTTAAAAATCCGAATGGAATCCAATCAAACGTAACATATCAAATTTGATAGGCGCGGGGTTAGAGGCACTTTGGAAGCGTCCAGTGACATTGACTTTCAAGGAGGAAATGGGAAACAAGTACTAATCATGTGCATAAAAATTAGAAAATTTAGACGATTCACCGTATATTTTTTAGGCAAAACAAATAAACATGAAGATGTAATTATAATGATAGATTTGGGAGCTTCGCCGAACTTACTTAAATTTAGCTATGTAAATGATTCCATGACAATCGATAAAAGTAAAATTGTTAAATTGCACAGTATTACCAATGTACCAGTAAAGACATTTGGAAGTGTAAGACTTAAATTATTTAATATAGAGATTGTATGTCATGTGATTTTTGATACTTCAGGTGTTCCGCATGCAAGTCTTGTAGAATCTCGATTTTTAAAAATTAATTATAAAAATGAAGTAATGAAAATAGATAATGTTAAATACCCATTTAAAAAAGCTAATAAAGTCGAGAATGGAGTGACATATATTTCCTCTCGTAGTCAGTCGACCTTTTTCGTAAAAGTTGAAAATAAGAATATTGGGTTATGTCCCAAGATTGAAATCGTATCAGGGCGTATTTTGGGGAGACTATTTAGTACGTGTCGATAATGGTTGTGCTTATATGCAGGTTCTCAATTCAACTGAAAATAAGTGGGATTGAAAATTCCTACTTTTTTGTATAGTCTGTAAAGCACTTAATAAAGAAACTGGAACGATTGGAAGGATTACAGGCTCTAGGCATAACTGTGCCGACATAATAACAGCTAGGAGAAGTTATTCTAAATTGTCAACAATATTTATTGATGTTCACTGCACAACAATTTTCTAAGTCGAGTGTTCAATATTTGCTTTGTTGCGATGAAGAGTGTGTGTGTTAGTGTGGACATCACTAATACAATGCATGAGTGTTTTGGAAGTTTCTACCGAT